GCCTTGGTCCAAGTTTTTCTGTGGTTTCCTTGGATCACTTAGGCAAATGCTGAGGCAGTAATATTCCACAGATAATCTTTCATTCTCTTCTGTCTTCATTTCGTCCGTCTCATCTTTCTCACCCGAACCACCACCCACCCATTCCCACGATTCCCGAAAGCAGACTGAAGAGGGCCTTCCGCCCAACCTTCCGGCGTAGTCCGGAGGGACTGCCCGCCCACCAGCAATACTGGCTGGTGGGAATGAAATCCAAAAGTTTTTTTTTTGGGAAAGTGTGTAAGACAGCAAACAAAATTAGTTACAGACTATCACTACACCGACGACGTAAACGCAATCAACTCTCGTTTAAGTTGACACCCTCAAATCCCAAATGTGAATTTTTGAAAATTATTTACTAGGTTCGTTTGTCCATCGTTAATCCACGTTTGTTCACGAAAAAGTTTTATTCGTCCACACAACGAATGAGGATTCACTTAATAAGTTTCCCGAAAAAAGCTACCAATGCGCTTAGTAGAGAAACAACCGCCGTTAACATAGATAATCGAGGTTTAAATAGCCAAATATAGCGACATAATAATACCTCAAATAGCTACGCCCCTGAGGATAGTCAAACGGAAAAAATAGTTGGACAAACGAGTGTTTGGAATGGTCAAACGACTGGAAATTAAATATCCCCCATCCACTGTAACCAACTTTCGTCTACACTTGAATTCCATACAGCTGCGTCCCTGAGGATCGACAAAGGGAAAAATAGATAGGCAAACGAATCTTTGAGGTGGACAAACGAACATACCCCTCAGATAAGCGAACAAACTTGTAGATAGCTAAATACCCCCCATCGGTAAGGACCACTTGACGTGTACACTTTGATCCTGTATGGTTATATTCCTGAGGATGGACGTCGATCTTTTTATTTTATTGTGTATTTTAACAGGCACATGTACAACCTAATATAATTTTTTCAAGCAATAAAGATTTATTGGTAAACTTAAATTTGACTATAAAATTGTAGTGGTAAATTGTAGGAGAAATATTGACAGGGGCTCAGACAAATTTCTTACAATTGGAATGAAATATTTACAACAACATCTTCGTGAATTTCATTAGAAATTGTAGAAAGGTTAAACAAATTTTGTAGAAAATATAAGGAAAAAATGTAGCAATTTTTATTTGCGTTTCGGTTTCTTGTTCTGTCTCAGTGCATACATATCTGTAATCGTAATAGGGTGTGATTTCGTATGTAATATTTGCTAAATATTGTGAATACCATTGTAATGATTGGTAAATTCTTTAATCGCAATTATTCTTATGCTTTGCTTTTTTATTTCAGAATACTGTGGAGTTACTATCTATAACGCTTACTGGTAAGTTTGTTTAAATTTTGATTTATTTTAATTTTTAACTACAGAACGGTCTCTACTATGTGTATAATTGTGTGACATCACTGTGAGGTTTGCGATACTGATAGGTTTGCACTGGGAAACACAGGTTTTTGTGGGTGTATATTTCGTCCTATTTAGATCACATGGGATATCTTCAGAGCTCTTGTAGCGTATTATTTTGAAACAGAAGATCAGTTGTTATCAACAGGGAAAACAAGGATAACCGCGGATGTCCGCCGAAATTTTCTTTATTTTTATAGAGTTACAAACTTTTAATGTTTTTACGAATATAAAGCTGGTAAAACCTGTATAAATGTATGTAAGAACTCTATTATTACGGGTAGGAAAATATGATGAATTTGATGTCAATTTAGTCTATGTTCTTACTCGTTTTTTTAGAAAATGTGTTTACACTCACGTATTAGGTTAGGTATGTATTGCATAATTGTAGATTATTGATACGTTCCTGCAGTAAAACACTCTTTACAATAATTTGGTTTATGCGTTTTGTCGGAAATAGACGGTGAACAACAAACTCTATTTTTGTTTTCATCTAGCTTTTCGACACCAGGAAATGTCACATCTAATTTAAATATACAAAACTGAACTTTGCACTAGTTTTCAACAAATTAATATCAATCATTAAACAATATCTCGTGAAAACTATTAATGATAAACAAAGAAATGTTTTTCTTTCTTCACCTATTATTACATTTTAAATGATCATTAGAAAAGTCTGATATATATTAAACAAAATTAAAAGTGACATTTTGTCGATATACACTTGTCGGCAGCAGTCAGAAAAAAATCAGGTGGCCAAATTGTGCGATGGATTAGCCTTGTTCGTAGAGTGTAATTGATGTAATTTATATCTTCGTTGTTAAGGTGTGGCGATCTCTGCTAGTATTATTTTGTTGAACAGTTTGAATGGAATGGCAAATAAAAAAGAACATATTGGTATGTAAGGGAGGTGGAATTAGGGTTAGAGCTAATACAAAAACTGAAGATGTCGACGATTTTTGATATTTAGGATATTCAGGATAGAAAACCAGGAAAGTCCTGATACAAAGAATTCGAGGAAAGTAAATTTGGAAATTCGAAAAATATTGTTAAAAATGTACATTTAGAATGAGATAGGTTGGTAGGACACCTTCTTAAGCATGAAAAGCTAGTGAGAGACATAGTAGAAGTAGAAACAGGAGTTAAGAGGAGTAGATTAGAATACTGTTCGCAAATAGTTTAGGATGTCGGATGTTCTAGTTTTAAGAAAATTCGAAGTTCAGGATAGAAAAGAGTAGAGGTGCGTGTCCAACCAGTCTTAGGACTGACGATCTTATAAAGACGTTGTTACCCTGTACAGATGAAAAGCGTGGGCCGTGGTTATGAAGAGTTTGAAGTGTTTGAGAAACCCACTGGTTTGCAAGGCTATTACGCTCACCATTTCCCTATCGAGCAGATCAACTATTTACATAATGCTCCTATTGTTTGGTGGAAATCCAACACACGAGAGTAAGATAGTAATTTCCTGTCCATGTGCAATTGACCGATGATTTGTATAGTTCGTTTAAAATCGGTAGGGAGCAAACTGACCGCGGCGCCCTATTAGCATAAGTGAAAATACAGACTTTCTGCTAGGTTTCCTGAAACGCGTAAAAACTAAATATGTATAAATTCGTTTCGTAGCAAATCGAGTAGATAGATTTTGACCAATGACATATCTCGGATATTTGAACCCCGATGCATAAGTTCTTTTAGGGACCCTTTTACATAAAAAAAGTAATAAAAGACAAGCTATAAAATTCTCAATGACGTGTAGTTCAAAAGAACTGTATTGCGGAACTACTCGTCAGAGTGCATTTTGACATTAGACCAGTCTTTGGTTGAACTGCTGTCCAAATTTAAAAACTGGTTAAAGGGCTTCATAACTAAGAACAATTTCTTTCAATTTCTTAAAGACATATTTTCATTCAAACACGTCACTTTACGGCACCCTACCCCTTTCAGATATATAAATTTGTAAATTGGTTTGAGTCACTGTAAAGAGCTAAATTTTACGCGTCGAAATTTGAGAATTATGATTCTTTTTCTACGATTTCTTAAAAAACGCTTTGGGTGTTAAAATTAAAGTTAAAAACGACTCGAAACTATGAATCATTTTCTTTGATTTTTTACAGTCCATGTATGTATTAAACTTATCAATTGTAGTTATTTGGTATGACATGGATATATATATATATATATATGCATACTCCTTTTAACATAAAATGCAGACAACAAAAGGTTGTGATACTGTTACTGTTTTGGATATCTTTTTCGTCAAGTCATTTCCTCTTAAAATGGATGGAAATTGTAGTTTTAAATGTTATTAGTAGGCTTTTATCGCCGTCATTTCGTCCTCTCGCGCTTATTTCAGATTAGTTGATCGTGAATTGCGCTCTAAAAGAATTACACTTGTAATACTTTAAAAAAAAACAGATAAAGTCGAGCAAATCTTAACGTAATTCAAACGAATTAAACGTAAGACGTAAAGACAGCAAGGATTTTATAAAACAAGCAATGTTTTCTCATCTACATATGTTGGTATTAGTGGCCCGAGTTTTGACTGAAACCACCCTGCAATTCAAGAAAGGGGAAGTATTTCACAATTACCTAGTTTTGATCTGAATTTCAAATAAATCTATAGACGTTTGGCATTGTTACCATCCATGTTAACAAAAAGAATTTGGGCTGTCTATTTGTGTAAAAGTAAAAGTGACAATAAAAAGTTAATCCGAAAACAAAAAAAAAATATATTTCACTATGAAAAAAATGCAAATTGTTTGAACGTTTTGTTAGTAGTGGTCACTCTATATTTAATGTCAACCGTTTTATATCATTTTATTCACTAAAGGCAAATGGCTCAAGTCCCGGGTTCGATTCCCGGTGAAGGTGTGACAACAGCAACAGTTTTCATTAATAATATCAATCCCTATTAAAAGTCAAAGTGGTTCATATACTATTGTGTGAAAAGTGGGAAAATTAGAAATAAAAAATGAATTTTCATTAATAATATCAACCCCTATTAAATGTCAAAATGGTTCATATAGTATTACAGATGGCGCTCACCACGCCATTTGTTGTATTTTCTAAAACGTGCTGTTAAGACAGCAGGTAAAGGTTGGTCTGTGTTCTGTCGGAGCTGCCTGCGACGCGCTGATGAGATCCAAAAAGATCGAAATCGCGATCCGCGTCTGGCAGTTTCGACAGAATACAGACCACTACGAATTATTTTGTTAGTATTAATATATTTATTAAACGCTCAAATAGATTTCAAAATTTCAAGACTTTTAAAAGGAATTCCAAACGAAAAGTTTTTTATATTTTCTTATTATCTAATAATTATCAAATTCAGTTTTCTTTACTTACTGCTGTTCGTTGAGTTTCAAATGTTTGTCGAGCGCAGTTAATGTTAAGCCTTCGTTTACAATGAGATTCACCGGAGCGTTACGCCCAGCCATTATTATTCACCTGCTTGTGAATAAGTATGAAAATCTAAAATAAAAAATGACCTGGACGACCATTTGTCATTCGTAGCTTTTAGAAGTTCGAACTTAACGTTTATATACTCGTCACGTCTACCTCGAAGGCGATAGAAATCTATCACGAACTTTCTAATAATAAACATTACATTTATGTTAGAACGGTACAAGGGGAAGAAGGAAGTATACGAGAAGCTTGCGAAATTTATATTTAATAATAAAATCCTGCATTTCTAATGATTATTTTAATAATTAAATTACCAATTAAAATCTTAAAGCAGTGAATAATTTAACAATTAGTTATGACAGGTATTGCCATCTTCAATTTGTTGATATCTATCGAGCTGCATGACCTAGAGCAGGGGTCGGCGAGTAATTTTAGGTTGGGGTGCGGATGTTTTTGAGATTTTGACCACTGGCTATAGCATTTGGGAGGACACAGGGTCCGTCTGTCCAAGTCCAAGTTTCCTTTGGTCGCTTAAGCAAATGTTAGGGCAGTAATAATATTCCACAGATAATCTTTTCCAAACATGAATCGCGATTTATTAGATCTCATCAGCACGACATTGGTAGGCTCGATAAATCACTGACTAAATCGAAAGAGGAGTAAAACATTGAAGAAACTATTAACTGACGTCAGCACTCATAAGGAGGACGTTTCGAATCTTATTGAGTGTCAGTGTCAGTGTGAAGCGATAATAATTATGGAGTCTATCTTTGCAGCTTTAAAAGCACTGCTGTAAAAGCATTCAAATCATTCTAATGTTTGTAGGTATAACCGACTAACAGAATACAAAATATGTAGACAAAGGCGGTCACTCGGTGGCAGTTTTATTACCACAGCTGCCACATTAAAGAAAACAGAATATATTCATTCATTCATGCCCTTTCTGGTAAATCATCTGGTCATTTCAGAGTTTACTAGTTCAACTACAAGCATTCATTGTACTGGTAATCGATTTTAGCTTCCGGCTTCTAATAATTTTCTTTTTAATGGTTAAATGTTGAAAATGGGTACAAACTTTTTTAATGCATTGACATTGTTTCTCATTCTATTTCTTCCATTTTCATAAAAAAAATATGTACAAATGTTGTTTTAGTGACACAATTTATTAAGAACATTTTTAAAAATGATTTTCGTCAGATACAAAAGATGTTTGTTTAACACGTGATGCATCACACCAATTAGATCAAGCTAATTTGTTTTTAACAATTACCCTATTAACATATGATTGATAGTTGTTTTTAAAGTAGGTAATAGTAAATTACGTTATTTTGTGTATAGGTATACAAACTATCCCATACTTAAGCAATAGCTTTTAGTGAACTTGTTAAAATTGCTTTAAACGGTTTAATTCGCGAGTAATTCCAGATGAATTGTGCCATTTTGGCACCGATTCAATATTGGCACAATTGATTAGACAAGTAAGCCGTTAAAACGAACATAAATTCCTTGCGAATTGC